CAAGCAGTGGGTAGCTGTGTGGGACAATACTAGTAAGGTCTATTCGCCCTGGAATAGTCAATCATTCAAGGTCAAAACGACAACATTTCCTAAGGACAACATTGAGAATGAATGGGAAGGAGGTTGGAATAGAAATAGGCACAGCAAGCAGGTATTGGGATAACTGGTGTTCCATGGAAGGAACTGCAATCCTTGAGATGAAACAAAGTGTATGATTTATGGAATACAAAACTGATGATCTTCTCTGTAAACCTTCACTCAATTCACTATAAATTAAAAAAGAAAAATCGTACATGGTCACTATGAGTTGGAATCAACTGGGTGGCATTTGTATATTTTTTAGTATTATAATTGTTGTTTTTAAGTGCTGTTGAGTAGGTTCCGACCCACACCGACCCTGGATACGGTTTCTGAGGAGCAGCTGATGAGCTTGAACCGCTAATCTTGCAGTTCAAATGGATTTGCAGTCTGGCTCATTAACTCACTGCGTCACACCAGAACTCCGATAGTATTTTCTTATTTGGCCTTTTGTCTGCCCTCACTCCCTTGCATTTTTTACGTCATAATATTCAAAAAATAGAGTTTTAGTTTGATATACAAATTTTCTTTTTCTCCAGCCCTCTATACCTATTCTCATGCTATCCTCTCCTTCTCTCCTACCAAGTTTAGAGATATTTTCTCCAACTGGCTCCCTCCTCTTGTTGTTAAGTTCTGTTGAGTTGGTTCCAACTCATAGTGACCTTGTTTAGGGTTTCCACGGAGTGGCTGGTAGGTTTGAACTGCTGGCCGTGCAATTCAAACCACCTTTCTGGTTAATGCTTATCCTTTAGTGCCACACCAGGACTCCTTAGCATTGTTAATTAGATATTTAATCTAGCAGCTTTCTCTTTATTCTTGTTTAGGTTATTTGTTCTTCTTTGTTTCCATAAGCACCTGGTATATACCATTTACTGTATTAGAATGAAATCATTGTGGCCCTCCACCTTACCAAACATGGTATCATTCTCCAGGGGCTAGTTCCTCCCGATAGCATCTCCGAAGTATGAGAGACAAAGTCTGGGCATCCTGGCTTCCAAGGAGCACTCTGGCTGTACTTCTTCCAAACACAGATCTGTTTGTTCTTTTGGCAGTCCCTGGTAATTTCGGTATTCTTCTCCAACAGCATAACTCAGTCCATGGTACTTTCAATATTCTCCTCCAAAACCATAACTCAAATGCATCAGTTCTTCTATAGTCTTCCTTATTCATTATCAAACTTTTGCATGGATATGAGGTTATTGAAAATACCATAGCTTGGGTCAGGTATGCCTTAGTCCTCAAGTGGACATGTTTGTCATCTCTTCAACTCTTTAAAGAGATCTGGCTAACTGACTGATCTATATTTCTGATCCATATTTCTGTCCATTCAAAAATTAAAAAAAAAAAAAAAAGTTTTACTTTTGCCAATTTGTTTTTCTGCAGTTTTCAGTGTTGCTATGTGTTTTTAATGTTATCACATGCTATTTTTTAAAGTTTTAAAAATATGTTATATTTTTAAATCTGGCCGAATTACTGATGAAACCTCTTCTTACTAGCAAGAATGCTAAAATAATATGATCTTCAGTTCTTTATCTACCCTTTTAACTTCACTAACCAATTCATCTTTGTTGATCAGAATCACGTCTGTAGCAGTTACATAGAGAAAATGCAAGTATAAATGAAATTAGACATACTGAGATTTTGAGATTAAGAAAATTAAATTGTGTAGATTAATGGTAGTCTGTATGGCATTGTAGTCAATTCACAACAAACTGCATGAAAGCAAGCTTTCATTAGAATGCGTAAACCTAATCTGAACATTGACATTTCTTGAAAATAAACCAGTGTCTTGGAGGGGTGACTCATAATTGTCCCTGAGAAGATAACTAAATAAAATGCAGCTTAAAATGTAGTGTGGTGGATTACAAACTGGCCTGCTATGTGCAAGGTCAGTAGTTCAAATGTTCCAGGTGTTCCGTGGGAGAAAGATGAGGCTATCTGCTCCTGTAAAGATTTACAACCTCAGAAGTCCTGTACAGGGTCTCTGTATGTCAGAAATGACTCCATATCACACAACCACAACCACCATACCCTTAAAAAGAGATGCAGTTCTTTTGGTTCCCCAGTTTTGCATTGTTGCTCTTCTCCCTGTTGTATTGTATAAAATCAGTCCTTAAGTTGTTCCATCACATTCACTGCTGCCTCTCTATTTTGGTTTGGGTTTTAAGCCCCTGTTTTAAATAATTACACCTGGATTTTACCATTTTGCCCCACTTTATTACATTTCTAAACTCTTGTAAATTCATGCTATCAAAGACATTATTTTCCTTACGTTATTGTCTTGCTTCTGTAACTGTAGTCGCTTTTTTCAGATGGCATCACATCTGAAGAATTTATCTTGCTTGTCCACTGTTGCCTGTATCTAACTTCATAGAACTTCATTCCTCTAAATGGTGTTTCTGCTTTGGCTAGGCAGGTTTTCCTGCTGTCTTCTAACAGTAATGCTTATTGTTCTATATGTTCACATGGTTTGTCCTTCTTAAAATGATCTCTTTTGCATAAGACAGCTGTGATTACCTCACTCATTCTTCTCCTATATTTACATATGCTGGCTTCTGATCATTTAGATTGGAGTCCTGGTGTTGGCACTGTATGATAAAACACTGGGTCACAAGGTTGGTTTGAACTGCAGGGTCAGTGGTTCAAACCTACCAGCCACTCCTCAGAAACCCTATACAGGGTTGCTATGAGTCAGAACCTACTTGACAGCACTTACCACCAGCAACAAAATATATCCTGGTGTGGCCCTGTAGGATAAGCACTGGGCTGCTAACTACTAGGTCAGAGGCTCAAATTCATCAGCCGTTCCTTAGAAACCCTATATGGGGTCACTATGATTAGGAACCATCTTGATGGCATTTAGCAACAAGAACCAAGCATATCATTAGGAGACTTGGTGGTGCTGTAGGATAAGCACTGGACTGCTAATCACAAAGTTGACAGTTCAAACCCACCAGCTGCTCTGAGAGACAACGATGAGATTGCTCATGTAAAGACTTACAGCTTCAGGAATCTGAATTGAGTCAGAATCGACTCAGCTATATGGACATTGATTAAAATACCTGATGATGAATGTAACTTATTTGTTATATCATAACTTTCTGCATATGTTTCTCTTATTCCTTATTCTAGATGTTAAATTCTTTAAGGGAAAAAGTTATCTTCAGTGATTTCTTTTTGTGACTTTTCTATTCGTTTTTTTCAAGTTGTTTTCAGAGTAGGACTTGGCTTCCCTTTTTATTGTTGATCATCATCCTCTAGGGCACTATTCTTGTATTTATAGTTCAAGTTGTATCACAGGTACTTCTGGTTTTCAGCTTAGAAGGGGAGAGATTATGGCAGAATGTACACTCAACGTTTCAAGTTTAAGACAGTAGAGTGGAGCACATCATTTGCTCTTAGATCCCACTGGTAAGAAGTTACTCACATAGTCACATTCAGCTGAAAATATGGTGAGAAATAAATGTGGGCTCTAACTGGGCAACCATGTGCCCAGCCCCAACTCTGTCACTTAGTGGATGAGAGGGAATCAATGCCACAGATATGTATAGTAGGACTAAATTTAGCTAAAAATAAATCTATAATATAAACAATTTATCGAATCTTTGTAGTCATTGTTGTTGTTAAGCGCCATCGAGTTGGTTCCGACCCATAGCGACCCTGAACAGGGTTTCCAAGGCTGTAAATCTTTACGGGAGCAGAAAGCCTCATCTTTCTCCCGCGAAGCAGCTGGCAGTTTCGAACTGCTGACCTTGAGGTTCACAGCCCGATTCATTACCACTACTCCACCAGAGTCATTGTTAGTATTTCTGTAATCTGGTTTGATGCTTACTTAACGTTTTCCAAAATGATATGTTCACCATTTTAAAGCCTCTTGCAAATGTCTGTAATTTTGTCTTTAGCACTAAAACCTTTTTGTCTTTCAGAATATCTTTGCACTTTTTTAAAAATAACTTTCACGTGATATCATTGACATGTAAATGTTGTTGTTGTTAAGTGCCATTGAGTCGGTTCTGACCCATAGCAACCCTGTACAGGGTTTCCGAGGCTGTAAATCTTTACGGGAGCCGAACGCCTCATCTTTCTCTTGCAGAACAGCTAGTAGTTTCGAACTGTTGGCCTTAAGGTTCGCAGTCCGGTTCATAACCACTACGCTACCAGAGCTCTTTGACATGTAAATATGGAAACACTATTTTTAAAGCTGAATTGCTTGTTTCAGAATAAGATTATCTATCCCAAATTATACCTATAATCTCTCTCTCTCTCTCCCACCTCAATTCCCTCCAAAAATTTTGTCAAAACCCCGGTCTATTCTGGTGATTATCCTCAGCTGTACTTGTGGGATAGTAGAGAGAACTCAGGGCCTGTAGCTTGAATCAAGGTAACAGTGAAAAGAGATGGAGAGTTGCTTTGTATATAGTTTAGTAATGAGGCAATAGTTATATTCAGAAATATACTTTAGCTTGTCTTTTGCTGATTTAAACTTCTCCATTGTATAAGATAAAATTATTCAAGACATAATCAAATAGAACATATCTAAAAGAAGTAACAAAATAGTCTTACTAACCACTGATTTTAGCTGGCAACTTGTTAAAAAAAAAAAAAAATCTTCCTAACCTGTACTTCTTTTGGTGAATTATATTTTTAAGGCTTTTGTAGCTGTGTTAGTTATAAGGTTGCATTTCTGTGAGTGTACATTAATTTTGTTGTTGTTCTTGTCAAATAACTAGTAAACCCAAAGCAAAATCCTTAATTCAGAAACATTTGAAATGTTCTGTTTTTTGAACATGTACTTTCATTTCTAGATGAAAGAAACTGTTATTGGTGCTTTTGATCTTCTTTAGCACTTACATATTGTTTTACTATTTATGTGATTCAGAGAAATACCTTGAATTTATGAAATATTAACTTTACTCTTCTAGCATCATTTTATCAAGAATGCAAAACCTGTATCGATTTTAAGAGATCTGATCACAGAAGCTATGGAGCTCAAAGCTAAAAGACATGAAGAACAGCAGCGAGAGCTGGGAGAGGAGGAAGAAAATTCGGTTCGTAATGTCTTCCAAGAAATTGGAATTTTGCTTCTAAATCATTTTACTGTGATTTTGTTTGAAATATATTAATAGCACTTATTTTTTTATTGCATAAGGAGCTCTGGTAGCGTAGTGGTAATGAATTGGGCTGCTAACCTCAAGGTCAGCAATTAGAAATTACCACTCGTTACACAGGAGAAAGATGAGGCTTTCTGCTCCAGTAAAGATTTACAGCCTCGGAAACCCTATGCAGGTTCGTTATGAGTCGTAACCAACTTCAAAGCATACCACCACCACCACCATTTTTCATTGCATAGTAAGGAGTGTTCATTAATTAAATCTTAGAATCTAATTCACTTGTATTACATGTGTGCTATTTTTTCCTCCTTTTCTGATGTCTTGAGAATTATTAATACATGAAATGTAAGCCTGATATAATAAGCTTGCACAGTGCCTGGTATTGAGTTGTTACTCATTATGTGATTGTTGAATAAATGTTGCCTTGAATGTGGTCAATTTTGTGCCATATTTTCTGGAACTTTCTTTTACATTGTCAACAACTGTGGTGTAGATAAAGGGTTACTAGAGAAAGCAAAAAGGACAGACAAGGATTTAGCATATTAAATCAGTTACATTTACTCTTTTCATAAGTTGGTGACTACATTAGTTCTACAAAAATTAGTGATTTGCTGTTATTGTTTTTATGTCATCATGTGGGTTCCAACTCATCACAACCCTATAATAGGGTATCTGAGGAGTGGCGGGTGGGTATGAACCACCATTAGCAGACCAGTGATTATCCTACTTAGCCATATGAAATGATGTAAATACCTTGGTTTTTGTGTCACGGGATCTTATACTTCCCATACTGGGTTCTTGGTGTTGTGATAGATATGAAGAAGCTTCAAAATGCCTGTGGAAAAATGGAATTCAAAAGATAATGAATTTTTCCATGAACTTTTGGAAGTCCCTTGTAAGCTTAGTTTCGGATTTCTGTCTAGTTGACACTTGAAGAACATTTTGTTATTTAAAAAGTACTGTATTGCATATTATTCTATTTGATTTTTACATAAGATTGGTCGTATATAGGAGTATTGCCCATTTTGCGGTTGGGTAAAATTAGAAGAGAAATAATTAACCAGAATTCTCAAAGCTAGTGAGGAACCATGAATAAAAACCAACTTTTGCTTTTCAGTTTCCAGGCTCCCTCATTAGTACTTTATGCCCATTTCCCAATCACTCTGGTAAGCCAACCAGCAGCATTAGCTGATCAGAGTCACACCATCTCAGATAAGGCCATATTCTCTCGAAAAGTCTTGTCTTTGCCCTCTGTGATGGTGCTCACCTGCCTCTTCAGCAGGTGCTTGGACAGGGTTATGTCAGCTTCCTATAAGAGCTGGACTAGTGAGCTGACTTCAGTTAGCTGTCAGCAGCTCATTGTGTTTATTTTGTCCTCATCTTTCCATAATTATAGGCTGGCTTCCATATTTCAGATGGACAGGGAACTGTTGACTACCTCTGGTTTTTAAAACCTTGGTAACACATTCTGGTTATTTTTCTGCCACTTCGATGATCCCTTTCCTGCTGTGTTCCTCTCCTTCACTGTGCTATAGTCACAGTGGTCTTCCTTCAGATTTTTAACTTTTAAACATGATAGACCTTTTTTTTACTCCGGGTTAAATAACGTGTACCCCAAAGCCTAATAGCTTAAAACAAGGCATATTTATTATCTCAAGGTGTCTGTGGATCAGGGCTTCAGGAGTAACTTAACTGGATGAAATGATTCTGGCAAGAATCTCTCATGAGGTGTCAATCAAGGTCTTACTCGGAGCTGCAGTCATTTGAAGGCTTGATGAAGACTGGAAGATCCACTGCTAAGAGAGCTCGCTCTTATGGCTGTGGACTGCTTCTTCAGTTCCTTGCCATGGGATTCATAGTGCTCTTTGAGAATCGTTACAGCTTGACAGTCAGCAAAGCAAGTGATCCAAGAGACAGAGAACACAGGAAGTTCTTCACTGGTTTTAACTGAAATTATAAACCCATGAACTGGCTTGGAAGAGTCCCTCTTTAAGCGTTCTATGGATACCGTGTTGTAGACTATATTCTCAGGAAGTAGCTTCCATTGTGAGATTATTTTGCCAGTTTTTGCCCTAAATATAAAATAGCTACTTGTGTGTGTGCATGCATGCGCACACATAGATTTGTACATATTTACAAGTATTTATAAGAACCATTAAATATGTAGCTTGAATCTAAAGTCCTCCTGCACTGAAAATATATTGTTGACACTACCATTCATTTTTAAGGCTCTGGTAGCTTAATGGTTACAAGTTAGCCTGCTAACCTCAAGATCAGCAGTTAGAGACAACCAGCTGTTCTGCAGGAGAAAGATGAGGCTTTCTGCTCCCATAAAGATTTGCAACCTCGGAAACCCTACATGGGGTTGCTATGAGTCAGAACCGACTCCATGGCACATACCACCACCACCACCACCATTCATTTTCAGCAAATTATTTGATCAGTAGTCATATTCTCCCAGAACATTTATTCACATCAAAGGCTCAAAACCATACCTTGATAATGGACTTTGTCTTTATACTGTTCATTCCTTTGGAATTCCCTTGTAGTTTGACTTAAAATTAAATTACCTACTCAAGGGCCTTGAACCACAAGGTCAGCATTTCAAACCTAACAGCCGCTCCTTGGAAACCCTTTACAGGGTTGCTGTGAGTCGAAACCAGCTCAATAGTATTTAATAACAGCAATACAATTTAGAAACAAAATAGGAATTTTAGATCTATCTATTTATCATCATATCATTACGATAGCACTTTTCCATGACATTAAGGTTTTTTATTAAGTCAACACAGAATTAGGTGTAGCTGTTATTGTTGTCAGGTGCCATCAAGTCTGTTTCGACTCATAGGACTTTTATGCACATCAGAACGAAGCAATGTCCGGTCCTGCGCAATCCTCACAATTTTTGTTACGTTTGAGCCCGGTTGTATTGCGACTGTGTCAGTCCATCTCGCTGGAGTTCTTCTCTTTTACTGACCCTTCACTTTACCAAGCTAGATATAGATGTTGTTGTTGTTAAGTGCCGTCGAGTCGGTTCCGACCCATAGCGACCCTGTACAGGGTTTCCGAGGGTGTAAATCCTTACGGGAGTAGAAAGCCTCATCTTCCTCCCGCGGAGCGGCTGGTTGTTTCGAACCGCTGACCTTAAGGTTCACAGCCCAATTTGTAACCACTACGCTACCAGAGCTCCTTAGTCTATTATAAATTGTAGGCACAGGACTGTTCTTTTCGTCATTCAGTGTATACTAATTTATGTGTAACATTCAAGATGTAAGTATATATTGTATAAGTTGTTAATTATACAATAAATAAGCAGTATACATTCTCAAGTATTTCTTGAGTTAATTTTTGATACTAGTTTTAAGTTTGCTGGTATGACTTACATATGTAGGCACTTGAATAATTATTTAAATATTTGTGCAGTAAGAGAATTAGTGCTTGCTTTTCCAAATGAAACACCAAAGCACTCACTTACCACATGAGGCATTGGACAATTAGTTAATAAACTGAATTTATGAGTTAAGGTATAGGTTGCTCCATTTTCATCAGTAGATGAAAAGATTGTGAAGTAGTTTACAGGAATCATTTTGTCACAGGGCCTGAGGCATTTCCCATGTGAATCACAATGTTAAATACAATATTTGTTTGTTGTTGTTAAGTGCTGTGGAGTCAGTTCCAACCCATAGCGATCCTGTATAGGATTTCCAAGGAGTGAGCTTGTGTTTCAAACTGACTTTACAGTCCAGCACATTAACTCACATATTAAATGAAATATGTAAAAATTGGGATAACTTAAAATGTTGGTGTTATGTGAGACTTTTTCACTTTTATGAGTTTAGTACTGATTCAATAGAAAAGAGTTGTGTGTCTATTAGTTGGCCTTAGACTATGTCTTAGAACTCTTAACCTTTGCGAAAGCAATGAGGATGTTCTTATGACCCCTTTGGGGTCCAAACTCTTGAAGGTTTTCAGCTTGTGATCCTTAATTTCTGAGTGTTATGTCCTATCCTCCTTTAACTGGATTCAGTGAATCAACATGGATGTAGGGAAAAATGCTGGGATATTTTGTTCATTTGCTCCCTTCTGCAGATAGTGGTATAGCTGAGCATTTTCTGAGGCCCTTTTACCTTTCCCCTTCAAATCAGTCCGCCTCTTGAGGTAAAAACTACGATTCAGGGCACCACCAGATACCATGCAAATCATTCCAGAAGCCTATAATGAATGTACCTGGTTGATTACATTTGTTGTTGTTGTTTTTGTTAGGTACCATCGAGTCGGTACCAACTCATAGTGACCCTATGCATAATAGAATGAAACACTGCCCAGTCCTGCTCCAACCTCACAAATGTTGCTATATTTGAGCCCATTACTGTTGCCACTGTGCCAGTTCATCTCGTTGGGGGTCTTCCTCTTTTCTCCAACCCTCCACTTTATCAAACATGATACCATTCTCCAGGGACTGGTCCCTCTGATGTCATGTCTGAAGTATGAGAGACAAAGTTTGGCCATCCTGACTTCCAAGGAGCATTCTGGCTGTACTTCCTCCAACACAGGTAGCATTTATCTAAGGTCAGGACAGACTGCTTTGGACTTGAACTCTTAACTCTCTTCCTCAATAATTGTATGTCCTTGGTCAAGTTACTTCATTTTATTACTTCAGTTCACCAGCTGTATAAAGGAAACAGTAATAAATCAATCGTGTCTCATAGAGTTGTTATGGGCATATAATAAAGATACAAATTCCATGCATATAGTATTCTCTATAAAGTTTAGCTGTGATTTTTGTTAATACTATTACCTTACTACCACTACTGCTCCGATGATAACAGTTTGACTCCAGTTTTTGTCTTTGTTCCTTTAATTTTCTGTTTCTTAGATGCTTGCTCTTGCTGCTGTTCTGCTACTCTGGAGGCCAATGAAATAATGTCACTGATCAG